TAAAATCATAAACTGATAGAAAATGAAATGAATCATGGGAAATGGAGTTCTTCCCATTAGAACAAAGCATTAAGAGCTAACGGTTATCCCTGAATCATTATGGTCCCATTAAAGTAACAACTTCCATTATCTGCTTTGAATCTCTAATTGATTTTATCTGTTTGAGTCGATTTGTTTGTTCATTTATCCGAACAGACGAGCCGTTCGACAACAGCTGTCTCGTTTCTGCTGTAATTAAAACAAACCCTGCAGAGTCCATGGATGATGCTTTATTATCATCACTCTTAAACTCATGAAGTGGGGGGGGGGGGGGGTGAACACAGCAGACAATTACAGCTGCACGGGACAGCCATTAGCATGCTGCCTGCGTTGTTTAGCGTTGATGTTGTGTGTAATTATGTTATTAGTGGGTTTTAATACACAAGCAGCCGTTTCATTCTGGTGGCGTTTTGGTCCCAATGATGCCGCTGGTCGCTGCTCTCAGCCGTTTTAGTAGGACTAATTAAATGATTGTTATTTTGCTCAGAGCAGAGGCTGCGTCACCAGCAGCCACGTGCACTCGCCTCCATCTGCATCCTGGCCGTCGCAGGCTCCTCTGGACTTCTTCATGATGAGCCCGTGTGAATCTGCTTGATGTAACCGGAACCAACAGTGGGAATTGTGCCCACAAGAGGAAACCTTTAAATAATTAGATTTACAAGAACAACAGCACCGATATAATTAGGTGCAGCAAGTTTTCTCCTCCACGCCTCATCCATCATGACTTTCTGCAGCATCAATAGAAAAGTGTGCAGATCCAGACGCTCACCTGTGTGTTTGTTTTATTAGTGTTCAGTCACAGTTGTTTCTCTGTGTGAGCTCTGCAGGGACGCCCCATCATTACTCACCATCCCCTCTTCCTTCCTGGAACCCCTCCATCTCATATCTGCCCCCACGTCTGCTGCTCACACTGCTCCGGCTCCACGCACTCCTTCCTCCGCTGCTTGTTTCCCACCTGCTGACCGCCTTTCTCCACATGCGTCTGCATTTTGCAGTCTTTGTACTTTTGTTTCTCTGCCATCTCACTAGGGGGCTGGGGGTCACAGTGGGGCAAAACCCTGAGAAAAATACCTCCCATCAAAAAAAGTTTTTCACAACTATTTCTAACTTTGTAATTAACGATGTTCAAAAATGAAAACCAAAATAGCTCAGAACTCCTGTTCATCCACACAATTCTCACCTGGCTCCATGTTAATGTAGAATCAGTCATCAGATGAATAAAAACACCTGATTTAATCCCAAAAAGGCTGCTGCAGCACGATCAACGCAATGCGAAGGTTGCACTATGGCGTCCATCTTTGTTTGATGAAGAGTGGAGGAGCTCTTCAGGAGCCTGATGGAGACGTCATTCCTGATCCACGTCATGTGCCACCTTTTTGTTTTGCCCTCATTCTGCCATCATCACACCAGGTTACTGCTACACCTGAAGACACAGGAGAGTTT